TTTCACATTCTTAAAAAAACATTTGGGGCCCCCGAGAAAATTTTATATTCTTAAAAAATTGGTCGAAAATTGTTCTGACAGAATTTCCCTGGCACCTAAAGTACAATGAAACATATCCAGCATTTTCGAGTTTTTACTTTACACAATTTAGTGATGATGTCATCAAAGCTTTTGCAAGGACACGTTTATCAACTTGGATTGGTGCTCCGTAATACTAAAAATAACAGTATTACATACATTCCCAAAATTTTCTGGGAAAATGAGGTGAGCCGTTCCTAACTTAATCAAAAAAATTGGTCTGAAGAGTTTAGACAGTACTTCCCTCGCTGTCGGAAACGTGGCGACTGCATGTCTATTATGTTTTTTTTTCGCAGTAGAATTCATTATTTTTTTTGAGTCACCCGGTATATGCAAATTCAAAAAATATGAATGGAATAATAAATTACAAGTACAGACTCATCATATTTTGTATATTCTAGATAGGATTTATTCGGTAAACTTTTGAGCTGACGTCATCAGTTTTTTGTAGAAGATAACCAAATATACTTTGACTAAAAATTTATTATGCTCTTTATACCTTAAAACATTTGCAAGATTTCAAAACATTCGGTTCTGGAGTTCCTGATTAAATCAATAAAATACATTTACCCATTCATTAATTTTTTTGGGTTACCCTGTATATGCAAATCCAAAAACTATGAATGGAATGATAAATCACAAGAAAAGACTCATTATATTTTGTACATTTTAGATAGGATTTATTTAGCAAAATTTTGTGGTGACGTCATAATTTTTTTAGGGGGGTTGATCAAAAACTTACCATGCTTATGATAACTTTAAAACACCTTCAAGATTTCAAAGCATTCGGTTTTGTAGTTCCTGAGTAAATCAATAAAATAAATTTACGCATTCATTAATTTTTTTGAGTCACCCTGTATATGCAAATCCAAAAAATATGAATGGAGTGATAAATTACAAGTACAGACTCATCATATTTTGTACAGTTTAGATAGGATTTATTCGGCAAACTTTCGAGCTGACGTCATCAATTTTTTGGAGGGGATAAGCAAAAATATTTTGACTAAACATTTATTATTCTCTTTATAACCTTAAAACATCTGCAAGATTTCAAAGCATTCGGTTTTGTAGTTCCTGATTAACTCAATAAAATAAATTCACGCAGTTATTAATTTTTTTGAGTCACCCTGTATATGGAAATCGAAAAAATTTTAATGGAATGATAAATGACAAGAAGAGACTCACCATATTTTGTACATTTTAGATTGGATTTATTCGGCAAAATTTTGTGGTGACGTCATAATTTTTTTAGGGGGGATGAGCAAATACATTTTGATCAAAAACTTACCATGCTTATGATAACTTTAAAACACCTTCAAGATTTCAAAGCATTCGGTTTTGTAGTTCCTGAGTAAATCAGTAAAATAAATTTACGCATTCATTAATTTTTTTGAATCACCCTGTATATCCAAATCCAAAAAATATGAATGGAGTGATATATCACAAGCACAGACTCATCACATTTTGTACATTTTACATAGGATTTATTTGGCAAACTTTTGAGCTGACGTCATCAAGTTTTTGGAGGGGATAACCAAATATATTTTGACTAAAGATTTATGATGCTCTTTATAGCCTTAAAACATATGCAACATTTCAAAACATTCGGGTCAGCAGGTTCAAAATTAAATTGCAAAAGGTTGTTTTATAATTTTGATTTTTTTTCGAAAAATCTAGACGTTTCGGGTAAAAACTCAATTCGGAGTCATAAACGACAAGTGTAGAACTATGTTCTTTTATACAATTTAAAACCCATTTACAATGTACAATTTTGAAGTGACGTCATTGCATTAGTGGTGGAGATGATTAGACGAATTTTGGTTAGCGTTTTACCACTTACATGATATTCCTAATATAAGTACAAAATCTCACAACAATCGGTCCAGTACTTTCGGAGATATCTGTCTAATAAAAATTCGGGACGGCAGACAGACGGACAGAACGACAGACAGGCGGAAATGGGAGACCTATTTCTTCGTCTTCTAGGGGTCATGAAAGATCGAGAAAACGTAAAAGTAGAGAGTCGGCTGACGGACTCGATTACAATATTTCCTTTGCTTACGCTCGGGAAGTAAAAAAGACAATTGAGACCCCCGAGAAGGTTTCACATTATAAAAAAAGACATTTGGGACCCCCGACAAAGTTTTGCTTTAAAAAAAAATAGTTGGCACCCCCGAGAAGGTTTCACATTCTAAAAAGAACAACATTTGGCGCCTCGGAGAAGGCTTTATATTTTTAAAAAACGACAATTGGGACCCCCAGAAAATTTCACATTGAAAAAATAAATTTGGTGCCCCCGAGAAGATTTTACATTTTTAAAAAGGACAGTTCGGGCCCCCGAGAAGGTTTGACATTCTTGAAAAAATACATTTCACCCCTCGAGAAGGTTTTACATTTTGAAGAAAGTTAGTTGGGACCCCGAGAAGGCTTCACATTCTTAAACAAAGAGATTTGACGCCCCCGAGAAGGTTTTACATTTTTAAATATAGGGGAGCGTATTCTGACCTTCGTGGGATAATTTCATCTATGAAAAAATTGTTATGATGTCATAAACATAGATAATAAATAATACCCGAGAAAAAAAAAAGAAAAAGAACGAAAGGCTAAGTTTGGAATTGAATGCGCGACGTGCACTCCGCATTAACCCCCCCCCCCTCACTAGACCACCACCGGGTTACCTTAAGTAAATGGTACTGTTATCATAGAGAAGGTTTTCACATTCTTAAAAAAACATTTGGGGCCTCCGAGAAGGTTTTTTTATTCTTAAAAAATTGGTCGAAAGTTGTTTCGACACAACTTCCCTCGCACCTTAAGTACAATGAAACATATCCAGGACTTTCAAATTGAGTTTTACTTTACACAATTTATTGATGACGTCATCAACGTGTTTGCAAGGACACGTTTATCAGCTTGGATTGGTGCAGTATAATACTTAAAATAACAGTATTATATTCGAAAAATTTTCTGGGAAAATAGGGTGAGCGTTTCTAACTTAATCAATAAAATAAAAAAACTCATTCATTAATTTTTTTGAGCCACCTGTATAAGCAAACCTAAAAAATATTAATGCAATGATAAATTACAAAGCGGATTCGTACACCACACATAGAGCTATATTGTTGTATAACAGTTAAATCAAATAAACATAGAATTTTTTGAAATCACTTCATCAAATTGTTGGTGGGGACGATTAGCAAAATTTTGGTTAGCATTACGCATACACCAGACGGACAGACAGGCAGACGGAAACGGGAGACTACTTTTCTCGTACTCTAGGGGTCATGGAACGTCGAGAAAATATAAAAATGCCCATTCGTCCGATGGACAACTATCTAAATGAAGAGATATCTAGAATTGCGATGTATTGCTATGGAAACAGACGTACAAACACAATGAACCGGTCATTTGAAAAAGGTCACATGTGAGTTTTGAGCAAAATAGTTTTATTTGATTTTTTGTATAATCTATCTAATGCGCAAAGTTTGGTAAGGAAAGGGCACAAAATATGTTACCAGTAATTTATATGGGGGCCTATTTTTTTTTATTTTGTTCAAAAAGGCGTATGTGATGCAAATTTGACCTTTTTCAAACAATTATGAACAAGCGCTCGCGTTTCAATTTGTGCGCCTTTTGATTCAATACCTAACTATTCTTCATTAAAAAAAATCGTCGGGGACCGAACAACAACTGATTTCATATGCGAAAATTTGAAAATTGACCAACAGAAATGCTGCAGTTCCATGGCAAAATTAAAGTTTTCGTATAAAAAAATGACTCGTGTGAAATTCGAAAATCGGGCTCCAGGGGCTAATAAATCATGGATGATAGTACTGTTAAGGTACGTGTCCACTTGAGAAAGCGCTTGCGAGAAATAATTCCAAAATCAGCCCGTAAAATCATGGTCGGGCCGGCCCACAACTGGGTAAGCGTATCGTTTTTACCTGGTTTCTCTGAGTTTGTGAGCGACTCGCACAATACGAACGCATTTCGAAGTGCGACAGTGATCTTCGATAAGTCTGTTTTACGTGTATTTTTTTGGTAATAACTGAATTCATTGCAATAATAATAGACCTTTGAAATTTGAAACGACAACTTGAGATTAAAGATGGTATAAAATCAAAATTAAAACTCTCGTGAGAGTTGCTCTCCAGTGGACACGTTCCTTTATACCGGTTTTGCAATAGCTGATAGCGTGAAGGGTTTATTGTCTTATATTATGCATTTTTGGAGCAATGTGTGCTTCAAATAGCAATGATGACGAAAACAATCTGTTACAAACTAAACGTAAAAAAGTCATTTCAAATTTTGATTGTTATAAATTCACATTAATAAAGAAAGCTAAGAACAAGGGGTTGCCATTTGTTAACAATAAAAGATATGGGTTAAACTGTTATTTTTATGATAAGTTTGGAAAAGGGTACATAAAAAACTCTTTTTTTTTATTATTCATTACCGTGATAATAGTTCGGTCGAAAAATACAATTATTAGTTTTTTGTTTCTACAGTAAAATTTTACTTCGATTCACATGCTGACCTTTTCCAAGTAGTTGATTCAATTATATTAGAACTGTTAATTTTTGTCAGAAATCTTGGACTACTGCAACTTCTTTGCTGCCTGTCAAAAACTCGATCGATAGTGGCAGCCAGTTCGCTGTCCAGATTTAAGGTTCTTGCATTTATTTTTATGCTGATACAATTCTCACTAACGCATTACAAAAAAACTGTCTTATAACATTATGTTTTATTTCCTTCAATTTCCCAAACTCAATACAGTAGCAAGCTAGCAAGTCTATTTAAATTTCCCAACTGCCATCACATTCAAATAAACTTAAGTTAAATTTACAGCGCCAGACATTTATTGTCCTTGCGACCCATTACGACAAAATTACAGTCCATTTCAACCCATAAAATTCCATTTACAGGCGCTACTCTCGATGCTCTATCTCACCGTCTCCGACATCTTCGCCTTGATCAATTACGTTGGATTTGCAACATGGGTAAGCCCCCTTTTCACGACAACGCGTAAACTTTACTCACCACCCGTTTCAGCTGAGCATCGGTGTCGCTGTGCTCTGCGTCCCATGGCTTCGATGGACTCAACCCAATCTGGAACGACCCATCAAAGTCAACTTAATCTGGCCAGTGATTTACTTACTATGCACCATATTTGTAACTGCCGTACCCATGGTGGCCAGTCCTGTCGAAACCGGGATTGGATTGCTGATGATTTTAACATCGATACCAGTTTATTTGATATTTATATACTGGGAGAACAAGCCGCAATGGTTCGTTAAGGCCACAAACAAAATAACTGTCACATTGCAACAAGTGTTAATCGTTGTTGGCAAATCGAAAGCTGCTGATTTGTAGGTGAGGGATCTGGTTGGAGCGGTTGTTAAATGAACTGAGACCAAAGATGATTAATGCCTACATCGACAATAAATGTTTGTATGCATGTAAAATAAAGAATGTTAGTAATAAGGCGACTTGTGTGGTTTGTGATTTTTTTTATTGTTGCAATATAGAGTACCAAATATTATCAAGTGGATCATATTCAGGTAAGTATTCACATTTTTGTGTAAATACCATAACACTCAAATTAACGAAAGTGAATCACTGAAACACATACAGAACGTTACTTGTGGGAAGACATCCTTTCAAAATTTTGTTATTGAAATTAATGAATTATGAAATGATCAAATTTTCGCATAAGTTTAAGTTCATCTTATCAGTAAAACATTTTAATTGTTTATTTGCTCGTAATTAATGGGAACATTGAAATCAATAAGTAAGAAATCGAATCAAACTAAAATCTATAAAAAAGAAATTATTAATGGGTATGCAGTCAACAAGCGCGCACTCTTCAATATTTATTTCATTGTTTGCACGTGTTTACAAATTATGTAGATATAGAAAGGGGTTCACGGGTTTTTAATCTGCAATTATTATCGAATGTCGATGTAAATTTTATTCACTAGCAACCACCATATGTTCTCAATCGGATTAAGATCCGGCCTTTTTAAAGACCATGTCAGTACGTTTATATTGCGTTATCCTGTAAATAACATTCTTAAAATTCATTGTAAAGATAAGGTTGTTTGCTTTTCATATGTTGGAAAATGATATTACCGGGATATACAGGTGCCGCATTCAAGTCTGGATATAGGGAATTAACATGGGAATTCGTTTTTATTTTGGCAGTGCCTCCGCTGCCGGCGCCGGCTCCAGTTAACCAGTCAAACGGTTGCCAGCGCCGGTTTCTGTCAGACGAACAAACGGTTGCCGGCGAAGTATAGGCACAGATTACGGATACCAGATAGTTCACTTATGCCCATTTGCACCAACGTTAGCAGTAAGCATTGCTTAGCTAAGCAATTCTTAAAAGTAACTACTTCTTAAATTGTACAGTTGTTGCACCGTCACTGCTTAGACTCTACTTAACCAAGTAATACTTAGTTGGGGAATTGTGTAAAAGTTTCATTTCTATTGGCAACACTGACGTTTGTTGTTATTGGAACATCAAAAATTTTAGGTTAGTTTGTTGTGTGTACGGCAGTCATTGACACCGCGCGTGTGTAGTTGTGATATTGTTGAATTAATTTTATGTGGTGTTGAATGTGTGTTTAAAAAATGGATGTGTTCGACGCGTACGAGGATGACTTAGAAGTCATTGAAATTGTTGAGATGGGAATTCCACGGCAGATGTACACTAGAGCTGATCATTTCTATGGTTTACCAGAGCTTCAATTTTTCCAAAGATTTCGACTAACAAAACCAACAGTTTTACATTTATTAACGTTAATTGAAGAACGCTTGGAATTTCCTACAGACAGGTAAAAGTGGTTAAAAAATTTAATGTGTAAATATATTATGATTTGATCATTACAGAAATCAGGCGGTGTCACCTATAAATCAGCTGCTTACTACATTACGATTCTTTGCAAGCGGGGGCCATTTGAGTACAGTAGCGGACTATATGGGAATGCACATCTCAACTGTGTCGAGAATAATTAGACGTGTATCGGACGCTATAGCAAGACTTTACCAGCGTTTTATTAAGATGCCCCAAACTCTCATGGAGCAAAGGCTTATTCAAAATGGTTTTTTTGACATCGCGAGATTCCCTAGAGTGATTGGGGCCATTGATTGCACTCATCAAAATTGAATCACCAGGTAAAGATTTAAAAAACCAAAAACACATTCTTTTCATTGGAACGTTTTTAAGGTGGAGAAAATGCTGAAGTTTTTCGCAATCGGAAAGATTATTTTTCAATTAACGTTCAAGCCATGTGTAATGCGAATATGGAGTTTACAAACGTAGTTGCTCGGTGGCCTGGTTCTACTCATGATATGACCATTTTCAATAACTCGATTTTACGAGCAAATTTTGAGAATGGAGATTATCCAAATTGTATAATATTGGGTAAGTTTCAGTTTTTAATATGTGTAAAAATACATTGCATTTGTTTTCAGGTGATGGTGGCTATGGTGTAAGACACTATTTTTTTACACCATTATTAAATCCACACACTCAAGAAGAGCAGTTGTATAATGAAGCTCATATTCGTACAAGAAATGTCATCGAAAGAACTTTTGGTGTCTGCAAACGAAGATTTCCTGTGCTAGCATGTGGATGTCGATTAAAAAAAGAAACTGTTTTGAGTATTGTAATTGCGTGTGCAGTCCTGCATAATATAGCTCGACAAATGGGTGAAGATGAACCTCCTCTCCCAGCTGACATTAACCAGCATGAACTGCAGCGACTTATTGAAGATGGTCAAATATCAGAGGTCAATGTTATTGACAACCAAAGGAGGGGTAGTGAAATTAGAAGAAATTTTATAACAAATTTTTTTGGAAATTTATAAATTTAACAAATAAATGTTTTATTAATATTTTATTTTATATTTTATTGTTTTTCCGTATTATCCTGTTTCAGTTTTCTCAGCTGCTCCTTTTTTATTTCAATATCTAATTCTAAAATTTGCTTTCGAAGCAAAAATTCAACTTGCTTTCTTTCTTCGTCATGTTTTTGTCCTTCGAGTTGTGCCTCAACTAACTCCATTTTCTTTGTAGCTAGTTCGTCGTAAGCTTTCGACAAATGGCTGGAATGTAGTGCTGTTATTGTTGGCCTCCTCCTATTAATGACTGATTAATGTTAAGACAAAGGTCTTTTCATCTGCCGTAAAATTTGCTCCCCTCTGGCGCTTTGTATTATTCATCTGAAAATAAAACATATGTACATAATTCTTTACAACAAAACGTTGTAACTGTGGTACATATCTTCTTTATATTATTTTTTGTCTTGTTAGAACTTTATTCCACACTTTTCACCGCTGATTACAAAACACTCACGAACGCTGCTACTGTTGAAAGGTTGAAATGGCTAAAAGGATTGCAAAATTGCAAATTTTCGATTTCCAAAACCATCAGCCAATAGAAACGAAGTATTGTTCCGTTACTATGGCTACCGCACATGCGTTGTATCGTTGTGTCTCGTTAAGCACTGCTTACAAATTTAAGCCACAGGTAAACGGGCACTTAAATTAAGGATTTCTTAGAAGGCTTTAAGAGAGAGTTAACCGTTGGTGCAACGCATTCTTAGTTTTAAGAAAAGCTTAAATTTTAAGTACCTGACTTAAACGTTGGTGCAAATGGGCATTAGCTGTCGGCACTTTGAAGTCGGTGTCCCGAGATTTCAAGCGGTATTCACGCTACTACGCACGCTCTACCAAAATTGGTTCGCAAGCTTTGAATTTAAAAGCACGGCGGTCAGAGAAAAATTACAGCGATGATGCAAGGGATGAGGTTCTAAGTGAAGAAAAAACGAACAAAATACTTATTTGCCTTACACAAAATGATTTATGATTATTACAAACGCTTAACATTTCACAATTTCCTCTGAAAAGAATTGCGGACACATGCATCGGCATTAAAACATTTTAGAGCGTAAAAAACACGTATTCTCGAATATAGTGCTAAAAAGAAAGTGGTGTTAAAATTTTTGCATGGTGAATAAACGTAACCTCTTTAACTATACGGCTTAAAGGGTTACCGAAAGTTAGAAGAATTGGAGGGCATAGTTAATGAAATTTGCTGCGCTTGCCTTTCTGAATTTTGTTGTTACAGTTTTCTAATCTACTCGTCTTTATAGTGATCTTCGATTTTTGGTGGTTATTTAAGACTGAAACGAGTTTAAAGGAAAAGAAGGGAAACTGTTTTATTCTCTTATTCATTTACAAAATCAGGCATTATAGACAAGATATATTTACTAAATGAAACTAACTATAATACAGTTTAATGCAGGTAGGTATTTATTTAACTAATTTTCTGATTATTTTAAAACTTTTAAAAAATCCCTTCGTAACCAAAAAACGTAGAAATTAATCCTTGTAATGTTATTTATTCCCTGAATTATTACCTAAACTTTTATTCTTATATCTGCTTCATTGTAAATATTATTTTGCGTGTTAATCTGTCGAACCAGTTTCAAAGAGATTTAAAAGTGCTGAACCAATTTTAGTGTCATGCGCACGGAAAATTTGCGGACAGTTACGCCCACAAGTGAACCATCTGGTATCCGTAATCTGTGGTATAGGCTACGCCCCTAGTAGTGGCAGTGTGTAACTAACAATAAAACAAAAATGAATGTGGGAGACAAATTCTCCTCATATGAAGAATTCAGTGAAGCTCTTGCTGCATACAAGCAAAGTGTTAACAACGAGTTTTGGATCCGGGATGCAAGATCGATTGAAAATCAAAGAAAACGTTTTCCTGAAACTGTTAAAAGTGTTAATGAATCGTTAAAATATTACTACATGCGTTTGGCTTGCATAAAAGGCGGTAGAAAATTTAAAAGTAAAAATGAAAATTCGGAACGGCAATGTTCTACAAGTAAGCAAGATTGTAAAGCTACAATATTTGTGCACGTCAGCAAATGTAAGCAGTATCTATATGTCCAAGAACTGAGTAACATTCATAATCACACGTCCTCAAAATCATACTTCACAGCTCTCTCTCAACAACGACTAAAATTACCAGACAGTGTTAAAGAAACGGCAAAAGAGTATTTAAAATCTGGAGCCAATAAGAAAATTGTACTTGAAAAAATAAGAATAGATTTGGGATGTAAATTAACTCTTAAGGACCTAACTAATCTGAATAGAAAAACAGCATCCCAGAGAAAAAATTTTGAAGAATGCGTTAATATGTTGAAAGAGACTTATAAGTGCAGCGATGTGGAGGTACTAGTAGACGAGCAAGATATTTTTAAAGGTTTATATTTTCAAGATGATAGAATGAAAAATACTTTGCTGCGTTTCCAGAAATGTTATTTGTTGATGCAACTTACTGTCTGGTTGATTTGAGGGCTGCTACATACCATATAATGGTAGAAGACGGCAACGGTTCAAGCGAAGTTGTTGCAGTTTGTTTATTAATTGATGAAAATGAAGAAGGCATAAGTTTCTTTGTAGAGACCTTTAAAAACCGTAATCCCGCTTGGGAAAAAGTGGAAGTAATTATGTCTGACAAAGATAAAACCGAAAGAAAAGTTTTCAAGAAACATTTTCCACGTTCACATTTAATGATATGCCTTTTTCATGTATTCCAAATATTTAACAGAGAAGTATCTGTAAAAAAAATGGGTATCTCAAGTGAAGAAGTACAAATCAGCAAACACTATTTACAAAAAATTGCATACTCTTCTTCATTGGCAGAATATGAAGAAATTTACGAAGAAATGGTTACAACTGTACCAGAGGTTGTAAAGCAGTATTATGATTCCAACTGGGGTAACATTACTGACCAGTGGGTACAGTAGTCGACGCTACAAAACCTGTGTTTTTTAAATAAAACTAATAATCGCTTAGAATGTTTAAATTCTAAGTTGAAAAGTGTTATTAATCGATACAGTCCATTAGAAGATTTTCTGAAACATTTTTTTGCTATAATTAACAGTTTTCGTACTGGAAAAGATGTTAAAATTTTGCACATGTTGAACAAAGTATCGACAAAACCGTACAGAGAAAATTCACCTGAATATTTGTATTGCAAATATTTAACATTTTTCGCATTTGAAAAAGTTGAAAAGCAGTTACGACTGACAACGGCTTGCAAACAGTTTGAATTTATTGGAAATAACACGTATCTGGCGACAAGTTCTGAAGGTCTGCTTCAAGTGACACCGTTAAGCTGTGAATGTCTTTTCAGAAAATCAACGCAATTACCATGTAGGCATATCTTCAAATGCAGGTACTTGCTATCTTTACCCAGTTTTGATAACAACTTGTGTATGAATAGATGGACAAGATCATATTGTATGGAAGTGCTAGAAAACTGCGAAGTTATTGGAAGCCAACAACCGGATATGCAATTTTGTAATGAAGAAGATAATCGTGAACGGGTAAAAATTACACAGTTGGAAGGGGTTCATTCAAGACGTCTTACAAACATGGAAAAATTTAAAATTATGGACGAACAAGGTAAAAAATTGGCCCAATTATGTTGTGAAGTATCAACGCCAGTTTTTTTCAAAAGACTTGAAACTGTTGAGTCAATTTTGAAATTTTGGACCGAGGGACGTGACAGCGATTTGTTAAAAATTTTGAAAAATGGCATTCAAGTTACATCTGAAAACGCAGAAACTGTCATATCTTCAGCGACAGTAAATGTCCATGGTAATAATATCTTAGTAACTACAAACGAACCAGAGCCTATAATAATGATGGAAGATAATGTTGTGGAACTAAAAAGTAAAAATTAAAAAACTGAAACGGATCCAGTTGTACATTGTAACTGTGATACTGAACAAATAGTGGACATTCAGAATGGAGATGAGATTATTGAGGAGTATGTAGTTGTTAACGGTGAACTTTTGAGGAACAACATTGGTGATGTTGGAGCTGTGAAAGCCAGTGGTGAAGAAGTTCAGCTCAACAAAATCAGAATGCCATCTAAAATTAAGAAAAGAGGACGTCCCAAGGGAATCGGCAATACTGTAATTGGCTTGCAAAGAAAAAAATAGAACAAAAAGACGTTGATAACTTTTAAAATTCTTCTTTTCAATTTCTGATTATTTTATTACTGTTTTCTGAGAATTTGTTTTTATTTCTATTATTTTATTTACACATTTTGTAACGTCAATAAACAATTTTTTTTAATACCTTTTATTTTACTAGTGCCGGTTTCCATTCAAATATAGGTACTATACACCCGTTATGATAATCGGAGCTGCCGGCACCCGGTACGGCACCCAGCGCCGGCAGCGGAGGCACTGCCTTTTATTTTATAATATCTTCCCAGATCACTTTAAAAATATTATTGAGTGATGCCTTTGTGGAGGTCGAAGAGGGCTACCGGCCAGTATTATTTTCAAATCGTTGCATCGCTCTCATTCACTGTAAAAAAGTTTTAAAAATCGCATTTTGAAATTCGCGCCCGATCCGATTTGTCGCGAAATGTTCCGTCGCACTGTCGAAGTTCGGCGATCGCGTCAACCATGCAAAATCCAAATGTCAAAGTGAAATTAGAAATTATTCTCAGAAATCAACGAACAAATCAGTAAGTATGTCATTCATTTGACAGAATTATTGAAAAACTTTAATCGTATTATACGAAAAAGTTGGGTTAGGTTGTAGAATTGGGAGCATGGAATAGTTCCTTGTTGTCAGCTATCATCGATTCAATTTTAGGTTTATTGCAGACACATTCAGCTTAATGTTTACAAAAAATTACCGCCAACTTAATAACTTTTTCAATTTAATACCGAAGATTATATCCAAAACTGATCGAGTTTGAATATCATATCTTTTTTCCAGATGTGAAATTTTTTTTGAACATAGATTCGGAGTCAGGGTACAAAATCCCC